CCCGCGCTGGCGCCAGGCACCTGGTTCCTGTCGGCTGCTACTCAGTCAGCCGCCCCCGCCACGCCCCGCCCCTCCACGCGCCGCCCCGCGCCACGCCGGCCTCGCGGTTCGGCGCGACAAGTCAAGATGGAAGGGTTGATAAGTTTGTAAGTTTGTGGGCCGGGGGCGGCTGGCTGGCCGGCCGGCCGGGGCGACGCGGGGAACGGGCAAAAGAAAGCGTAGAAAGACTGCGCTCAAAAGCAGGACGACAACGGCGTTGAGCACCACCGCGGGGCGCTACGGACGACCCTCCCTCTCGGCGCCCCCAGCTCGCCCAGGCCGCCCGCGGCAGGCCGGGCAGGCATGCCGAATTCCCTGAACTTAAAATTCCTTGCCCTGAGACGCTGTGTTGTTAGGAAAACAGTGTGGCCGAGCTCAGGACCGGCCCGCCCTGCCGCATGCCAGGGCGACGGGGGGCGCCGGCTGCCGGGCGCTGCCCGCCTCGAGCCCGAGCCTCCGCGCTCCGCTCCACGGCGAAAACTGTTGGTGGTACGTGGATTAGAGAATGGGGCATTTTCCGCCGAGAAGGAACAGGATTCTGAAGAAGGAAAGGTCGACGGCCCCTACTATTGCAGCCTGAACTAATAATTAGTCAACGGCGAGGTCAACAACGGTCACGTCACCGTCGCAGCAGTCACTGTGCGTACAGGGGGAAACAGAATCCGCACTCGACCTTTCCTTCTTTTGGCCCCCGGTTCCGTCTCGGCGGAATGCTTTATCATCGAACCGAGGATGTCGATAAGCGACCGTCAAACGAGCGCGGTGTCAGTCGGTGTAGTCGGTGGCGCACCGGGCCAGGCCGCCGCCCCCGGGACACACGTGCGCCCCGCCCACGCGACACCCGCGCCACGCGCCCGCGCCCACCCGCCGCACTGGCCAAGAAAAAGAGGTTTTCGAAAAATTTTGATTAGGGCTGACGTGACGGTGTAATTATTTTTATAGTGGGAGAGACAGTGTGGGTGGGCACACCCGCAACGCCCCGCCACGCCCCGCCCAGAGTACACCTGTGCTGCCCCGTCCCCGTCCCGTCGTGCTACGCCCGACGCGCCCAGCCCCGCCGCCTCGCGGCCGCGAGGTGGACGCGAATCACTTGGCCGTTGCGCAAGCCTCCCTTACCTGCCGCATTTTTGAGGAAAAGGGGCGCGTCTCTATATTTTCGCTAAATTCATGAATGTATTGTTGCAATCATTGCAATCAATGCCGTATTGTGTTATTTCTTTGCCCTTATTCCAGGCACCAAACTGTCTGGTATGTACTGTACAGTACGTCTATATCGTGGTGCGTGAAGCGGAAATGCGCAATCGAGACCTGAGAGAACAGATAAAGTAAACTAAATCAATTGTTTCGACAAAGAACCAAATAACTTATTCACTTTGATTAAACAAATTCCGCAATATGCAGCGAGTACGTACTCATTTGTACGTCTCCGAAACAAAACAGGTGTTGCGCACGGTCAGCTTGCACCGCCACTTGCAATTCTTCGTGGCTGAACATTTGTTCGTTCTCGGCCATGAAATGGCGGGTAGCTCACCGGCGCCGTGGTCGTGAGGCGGGGCGGGTGGGAGCGGGTAGGGGAATCCGCACACCTGCCAGACGCTCCTGCTAAAGTGCTGGCGCCACGCTCGGCACGCTCACGCTCGCTAGTTTTAAATCGCGTCGGGCCCGAAAATTTTTCAAGCGTAACGCTCGGCGCCTCGCCCATCCAATCGAATCATGTTTGCGGCGTTTTCAAAATACCCCCCTCCTCCCACTCCTCCTCTAGCCTGGCGCCAAAATCTCCCCCCCCCA